CAATCGTTGGAATATACTGTAGAACTAGTCTTTCAGCAAGAACTTGATCTCGAACAAAGTGGCAGTCCACTTCAATGTGTTTAGAACTAGAACAAAATACTGGATTGGATGCCAAAGCAATAGTAGAGACATTGTCACACCGGAGAGTAGGAGGCACAAGGGAGGAAATAGATAAGTCAGTAAGGAGCATGCTAATCCAAGCTAATTCTACAGCAATATGAGCAAAAAACCTGTACTCTACTTCAGTGGAAGACCGAGAGACTGTGGCTTGCTTTTTGGCTAACCAAGACAAAAGGTCAGAGCCCAAAAATATACAATAACCTGATGTAGATTTTCTATCTAAAACTACTTCAGCCTAGTTAGAATCTGAGTAGGCATGAATATCAAAAGAACTAAGAGAATAGGTCAGGCCATGCCCAATGGGACCCTTAACAAAGCATAGCAGTCTTTTGACTTCAGCAAAATGACCAATTGTAGGGGAATGCGTATGTTGGAAGGAGTGATTGACTGCCAAAGAGATATCTGGGCGAGCTTTGGTGAGATACTGAAGAGCACCAAGTAGGCTTCGATAGAGAGCAGGATCAGGACACAAATTAGCTGAATCAGGAGCAATGGAAGTTTTAACTGATGTAGGAGATTGACAAGGTTTACAATTAGCTAAATCTGCCTTATTAAGAATATCCTGAGCATATTTCTTTTGAGACAAAACATAGCCAGTGGGAGTTGATTGGATGGAAATACCCAAAAAATACGAAAAATCACCAAGCTCTTTCATAGAAAAAACAGTGTGAATATGAGAGATAAGTGATTGAATGTGAGAAGCATCATTCCCTGTGACTACTATGTCATCCACATAGACCAAAAGAGCAGTGAAAGTAATGCTGGATTTCTGGATGAACAAAGAAGAGTCACATTTGCTATTTTGTAAACCTTGAGAGAAAATGTAGGCTGAAAATGTAGAGTACCAAGCCCTGAGTGTCTGTTTCAAGCCATAGAAGGCTTTCTTGAGATGACAAACATGATGAGGTTGAGTGGGATGAACAAATCCTGGTGGTTGAAGCATAAACACTTCCTCTTCAAGAACTCCATGAAGGAAGGCATTGGATATATCCTATTGCTTCAAGGGCCATTGATAATGGAGAGCTAGGCAAAGTAAAATTTTGATTGTTGGAAGCTTGGCTACATGGCTAAAAGCCTCTTGAAAATCCACGCTTTCTTGCTAAAGATAGCCTTAGACCACAAGCCGAGCTTTGTGTCTAGCTATGGTGCCATCAGAATTCCTTTTAACCTTGAAAACCCTCTTACAACCTATAACATTTTTGGTTGGGGGAAGAGAAACTAGAGACCAAGTTTGTTGCTTTTACAAAGCATCAAATTCTTCCTACATAGCCTTATGCCAAATAAGAGAAAGAAGAGCTTCCTTATGAGATGAAGGTTTAGAATCTTAGTACAAAATAGGAGAAAGCTTGTGTAGACACCCTATTTTTTACCACCCTTAAGACTTAGGCGCTTTATTCCAAACACTCGATGATGAAAGTTACACAGTACAATCTTCTCAATTCTTAGCAAAGAAATTTGGATTCAAGCTTTTATTCCAAACCTTACACCTCATTTTGGCCAAACAATTTTAGACCTTAAAACTCTCTTTTTCAAAATATTTTTCTAAATATTTTTACGATATTCCGAAGCTCGCATTTCGTTTAAAATATTGCACTTTTCGATAAACCGAGTAAGGACAAAGTAGAGATACATGGAAGAGAAGTGAAATCTTTGAAAAATCTTTAAAAACATCGTATTTATAGGCTTGAAGTTGAAGGAAATAGGAGGCGATGAAAGAAAACTAGTTGGGGAAAAGGTTGAGCATCAAACAGTTACGAAATAAATGAACAACCTTCACTAAATTAGGCATATCTCTTTTCACACTTAGAATTTAGATGTGAAGCCACTACCATTGGAAAGTAGACTTCCGGGGCTTCAATTTAGACTAAAGAATCACCTAAAACTCAGTCTAGATAAGGGAGATATGGCCGTTTGAAGTCGGGCTTGGAATACAGATTTTTGGACCCAGCCGTGCCTCATTTAGACCCGACAGGGTCTCAATGAAAACTTTTTCAGAGTTGCTTTTTAGGCTCGGCCGTGTGTTTTTGGGCCCGGCCGAGTCTCAATAGCTCCAAATAGACAGCTAGCGGGAATTGGACAACTAGCTTTGTTTGAAGATATTTTTGGCCAATTTGGCTTAAATTCTATAAATAGGACCTCCCACTTCAGATTTTAAGGTTAGAAAACCTTCCAAGAGGCTTAGGCATTGATAGAACATCCATCTTCCTTCCAAAAGCTTCCTTGAATTCATATCACCTTTTAGTTATACATACACAATACATACACCATTAGAGCTTGTTCTTGAAACTTTTTGTTGAGATTTCAAACTAAATTTCATAGACTTGAGGGTGTTTTGAATCAAGTTTGTTTAACTACAAGCATCCTTTCTTTCAAGAGGTATAACTTTTGCATCTTTTTTCTTATTTCTCTTTTACTCTTTTCCTCTCTTTTCTTTGCTTTATACACTGTTTTGGGACTGTTTTGTGGGTTGAAATTTGGGATTTAAAAGCTACTATGGGTGGAGGGGTTAACCATCCTTCCTTGAATCTTTTCCAAGCTTATATTCTTGTGTTTCCCACTTATTTCTTTGATTTTAGCCATTGTTTTCGGGACTATTTTTGGACTATTTTTAGAGGCTAAAATATGATTTAGAAGTCCCAAAAGTAGTGGGGTTAGTCACCCCTTCTTAGATTTGCTTGCTAGCTTTATATCTCTTGCTTTTGTCTATTTTTTGGTGCTCTTTAAATACACTTTTAGCCACTATTTTTGGACTGTTTTGGGACTATTCTTGGATTGTTTTGGGGTTGAAATATGTGATTTAAAATTGCAAAAGTGGAGGGGTTAGTCACCTCTCCTTAAGCTTTATTCCATAACTTTTTCTCTACTTTTTTTACTTACTTTCTCTTGCTTTTAGCTACTTTTTAAAATATATATATATATATATATATTAGGGGATGTTATGGGCTGTTTAATTCATTTACATAATTTATGCTTTAAATATCATACTTGTTGTGTTGTAAGTCCCCATGGTTTCGGTTGTTTAGGCCTTACACACCGAGTCATTTGAGTTGATAGCTTTTCTTTGCTTAGTTTTCATATAAAAAGTCTCATTCTAATAATCAATCTCGTATAACCATTTCTGCAACCTCCCTTTTTTTTTTTTCTTTTCTTTTGTTCAAAAGTTATTTGAAAAGATTGATAGTTATTCAAGGCATGGGCAAAAGACCTATGCTCAATGGATTAATCTCTACGGAGGTTCATCATCAAGGCATAGGCTCTCTTTCATGCTACGAATCACTTCTTGTTTGATATTGCTTCTCGTTTAGTGGACTTAACCATTACTTTGGAAAATTTGATTAAAGAATGGCAAGAACTAACAAAATTGAACTAAAATCAATGAAACCAACATAAAGAAAATGTTTAGAATTGGTTGGATTCGGCCAGACGTTATGTCGGATCCATTACTTCAAGAATTGTCACTTATCAGTCCATGATATTTTGACGAAACTTGAGGTGTGTCTATCTCCTTCTTTGAGCCTCCATGATGAGAGGGGGGGTGGTCGTCTTCATTGCATTTATTAATTGTTTTGTCCAAATTGTGTTCGAAATCGTCAAGCCATCAACTTGTGCCTATTGACGATTTCATACTCAAATTCACTCTTCTCTTAAGATTCATGATAGAGGGGAGCAAAAAGGACAAAAATGATTTAAAGTTGCTCTGTCTGTACTATTTTCACCCCAGAGCACAAAAACAACGGCCAGCCTCATTATGGGCCGATCGGGATCCAATATTTGGTAAACAAAATGCTTTTGGCAGAAACCGAGGGTAGTGGCTAAGGGTGAAACAGAGCAGTCTGGGCAGATAGAGCAGTCTCTGACCACTATCTTCATTAATGCGCATACGGTTTTCGTGCATTATTATTGTTATTTATCTTAAATATAATTATTGTAATTATGCTTGTTGTTGTTGTAATATTATTGATGTAATAAGTTAGATATCTAGTTAGTTATTTATTCGAATTTGTAATAATTAGTTTATTTTGGACATTTGGACACTTACTTGCACCCTCTTGCGTGAGGGAAAAATATGTAATGGTGTATGTTTTCCAACCTCCATTTCTTTCTCCTTTTTATTTACCTACTTATGGTGGTAGCATAGAGCATCAAGTTTACTTAAGCATTCCTATGTTCACATACACTTGTTTTATATATATTTGGGTTCGGCTCATCATGCTAACCAATGTCAATTTCAACTCCATTGTTTGAATACGTGATTTATCATATGTCTTGAATAGAATCATGTACCATGATAGTAGCCAAGCCTATTTAAATTGCATAATGTGTGCGTTGCATTAGTCATTTTGCATAAGTTAGGAGCATACATGTTTTTTAATCATTTTGCATAAGTTATATCTATGCATGTAGTCTAACTACTTCTCTCTAACTAACTTCCATATCTATTACATAGTTATAGATCCTAGAGCTACTATTGTCACTAGACTGTGATGCACTAGCATACAACAACCGTGAACCTTGAGTATTGAATCCAAATGGCATGAACTTAGGTGCAGTCACCAATTGAGATAAAGAAGCATTAGTTTTATCATCCCCCCTCAAGAGAATGGGGCAAGGAAGCACCATGAGATTGGATTTAAGGAGATGAAATCTAGGAGAGAGCAAAGCTTTAGTAAACAAATCAGCAGTTTGATCTTGAGTAAAGATGAACCTTAAATCAAGCTGTTTGGCCATGACTCTTTCTCGAACAAATGGCAGTCTATTTCAATATGCTTGGACCTGGAGTGAAAGACAAGATTGGAAGCCAAGGCCATAGCTGAGATGTTATCACACCAAAGAATAGGAAGAGAAAAGGGAACAAACAAGTCAGTGAGTAATTGTTAAAGCTAGCACATCTCAACTACAATGTGAGTAAGAGACCTATATTTTGCCTCAGTGGAGGATCGAGACACAGTGTTTTGTTTCTTAGCAGACCATGAGATCAAGTTGGAGCCAAGAAAAACACAAAACCCAGAGGTAGATATACGATCAATAGTGTCCCCAACCCAGTTAGAGTCAGAGAAGGCTTGAAGAACCAAAGGCCTAGAGGTAAAATGAAGATAATGAGTGAGAGTGCCCTTGATATATCGAAGCAATCTCTTAACAGCCTAAAAATGACCATTAGTAGGAGATTGCATAGATTGACAAGCCTGATTTATAGCTAGAGCAATATCAGGCCTAGTAATTGTAAGATATTGCTGATCCCCAACCAAACTTCTGTACAAAGAGAGATTGGTAAAAGGCAAACAATCAGAAGTAGAAGTAGAGGACTTAAGAGCCGAAGGAGTAGCACAGGACTTGCAATCAAGCATACCAACCTTAGAAAGTAACTCAGTAACATACTTGTGCTGAGACAAATAAAAACCACCAAACTGAGCAGTCACAAAAATAACCAAAAAATATGAAATGTCACCAAGTTCCTTCATAAAAAAATCTTATGCATTTTGGCAAGTAATTGGGAAAGAAAAACAGAATCACTTCTAGTGAGAAGGATGTCATCAACATATATAAAAAGAATGGTAATGCTAGAAGAAGACTTCTTGACAAAAAGAGAAGGATTTGAATGACTGTTGTTGAAGCCTTGAGACAGCAAAAAAGAAGATAAAGTAGAGTACCAGGCTCTAGAAGCCTATTTAAGCCCATAAAGAGCCTTCTTGAGTTTGCAAACATGAGTAAGGGAGGAAGAGGACACAAAACCAGGGGGCTAAACCATAAAACACCTCCTCTTCAAGCTTCCCATGGAGAAACGCATTAGAAATGCCTAATTGCTTGAATGGCCATTGAAAATGCAAGACCAACGACAGTAAAATTCTGATAGTGGGTTGCTTAGCCAGAGGGCTAAAAGTCTCAAAATAATCTATGCCTTCTTCTTGAAGATACCCCTTAGCTACTAACCTTTCTTTGTATCTAGCAATACTCCCATCAGAGTTTCATTTGATCCTGTATGCCCATTTACAACCAATAGCATGCTTATGAGATGGAAGATGTAAAAGATCCTAGGTGCATTGTTGTTAATGAGCATCAAATTCTTCTTGCATAGCCTTAACCCAAACAGGAGAAGTTAAGGCTTCATGAACAGTGTGAGGTTCAGTGGTAAGCAATGAGGCATTAAGACACAAAGAGACATGTTTAGATTTTGATCGGGTAAGCATAAGATGAGAGTTGGGAACAGTGGAAATGAAAGATGGAGGTGACAGCAGAGGAAGTTCAACATAAAGAGAGTCAATAGGCAGAGAAAGAGGAGTAGGAGAAGAAAAATGAGAGTTTGAATTAGGAGAGATATGAGGAGAAATATGTGGAAAAACAGCTGAAGAGGTAGGAGCAAAAATATGACAAATGGTAAGAGTAGGAAAAACTCTTTATGGAGAGACAGCTGAAGAAAGTGGAGGACAAGAAGAGCCCTAGAAAAAAGAACTTACAGTAGAGGAAGAAAGATGAGAAGAATGAGGAAGAGTGAAGAAAGGAAAACAAGATTCATTGAAAAGGACATGCCTAGATATATGAATTTTACAAGTAAAAGGATTTAGACATTGATATCCCTTTATAGAAGGATGGTACCCTAAGAAGACACAAGAGGTGGACGTAGGTCGAAGCTTGTTAGTAGTATAAGGCTTAAGCCAGGGAAAGCATTGACATCCAAAGACTCGAAAAAGGGAATAATGTGGAAGATCATGAAACAAAACTTCATAAGGAGATTTGTTATGGAAAATAGCACTAGGCATTCTATTAATAAGAAACACTGAAGTAGCCACTGCATCAAACCATAAAGAGAGGCAAATTGGATTGATAAATGAAAGCAATGGTAGTTTCTGAGATGTGTCAATGTTTTCTCTCAGCTACCTCATTCCGGGCTTGAGTATAAGGGCAACTGAGTTGATGAATAATGCCATGGGAAGTAAAATATTTAGCAAATCTGTTATTAACAAACTCAGAACCACCATTTATTCTAAAAATTTGAAGTTTAGTATGAAATTGGGTCTCAGCATAAGCTTTAAAGTCTAAGAATTTTGAGAACACATCACTTTTATAATTGAGAGAATAAATCTAAGAGAATCTATTCAAATCATCCACAAACAACACATAATACTTGAAAGCATTAAAGGATGAATTAAAAGGCCCCCAAACATCACTATAAACTAAATAAAAAAGAGCATTAACAGCGGTACTTGACAGTTTAAAAGGAAGCCTATGAATTTTGGCAACAACACAATTATTATAGAGATCAAGCTTATTACAAGTAGTAATGGTACAAGAAGAATGAGAGTGAGGAATTTTAGGAAAATGCTTGATAATGTGCTGAAACTTCAAAGGGAAATGATGTCCCAATCTTTGATGCCAAGTGAGTGTAGTGACAGATGGTGTAGAATGAGAAAGATAAGCCTGTGGTGAAGTTGAAGATGCAGGTGAAAATTGATACAATCCATTCACAATAGAGCCTTTATGAAGAATTTTGTTCGTAAGCTTATCCTAAATAAGGAAAGAATTAGTATCAAAAGAAATAACACAATTATGATCTTAAGTGAATTTCTAAACAGATAACAAATTTGATGAAATAGAAGGCATGTGCAATAGATTAGTAAGAGAGAAAAAACAAGTTGGAGTAGGTAAGAGACCTATGCCAATGTGATGAATAGGTAATGAAGAACCATTACCAATAGTAACCTGATCATGGCCTTGATATGGCTTAAAGAGATGAAAATTTGCCAAATCATTAGTTATGTGATTTGTAGCACCAGAATCAACATACCAGGGCATGGGAGAGGAATTTGAGAATGAGAAGAAGGAGCAGTGGTGACATAAACATGAGAATGAGAGTGATGTTGAGGAGGAGAAAAGACTGGTTGAACGGATGGATCCATTCAATGCCAACAATCAATAGTAGTATGACTGATTTTGCCACAAATTTGACAACCAGATGAGAAGTGATGATTAGTCATGCCTCGATTGCTATTACGGTTGTAGAATCGACTGTCTCGATTTCCATCTCCATGATTAGAAGACCTGTCTCTTCCTCTGTATGAATTTTGACCACAAAAACCGGAAGATTCAGAAGTACTAGATAATCCTAATTGAGAAAAGTAACCAGAAGAAAACCTAGGGGTTGATCTTTTTGATGCTGAATAAGCAACCTGAAGATTGGTATCATTTGTGGTTTTTAGTCGACGTTCAACATGAATAGATTCAGAACATAACAATGAGGAAAAATCATCAAGAGATAGAGGCTTAGATCTAGCTCGAATCGCTGTTTTAAGTACATCGTATTCATCAGGTAGTCCATTAAGAATGAATAGAATGAGATCTTCATCACGAAGACTTGCTGATGCAAGAGATAACTAATCATCAATTTCTTTGAATTGAGCAAGATAATTTTCCATAGATAGAAATTTCTTGGTGAGAGTTTGCATTTTACTCTTCAATTAATGAATGTGTGAATGTGATAGAGAAGTAAAACGATTTTCCAAAGCTTGCCAAACTTGGAAACAATAAGAATGATGAAGAACAGTTGAGTAAATGGTTGGAGAAAGTGTTGTTGTGACACAACTAAGAAGATGAGAATCAATGATCTACCATTAAGAAAACTCAAGATTTGGAAACAGCTTTCCATCAGAAGTTTCAATTCTAGTGAAGGACAAGTAATTAAACCAATTGCATAGCCAAAAAGATTGGTGGCCCAAAAAACATTCTGAAGTTGATTCTTCCATATGAGAAAGTTGCTTGAGTCGAGCTTACAATAACTAAAACATTAAAGTTTGAGACAAGCGTGGTCAAAATTGAAGGAATTGAAGATGATGGAGAAGTTTCAAGTGGAGCTTTTTCCATTGATGAACATTAGAGCTTGTGGCTCTGATATCGTGAAAACTTTTTATTCCCTTAGCTCTTCAATGAGGCTTTACAATTCTTTTATACACACACAGCAGATAACCAACACACATGTACATACAAATATATTTATACGTATAGTCTAACTATTTCTCTCTAACTAACTTCCATATCTGTTACACAGTTATAGATCCTAGAGCTGCTATTGTCACTTGACTGTGATGCACTAGCATACAACAATTGTGAACTTTGAGTATTGAATCCAGATGGCATGAGCTCAGGTGCAGTCACCAACTGAGATGAGGAAGATGAGGAAGCATTAGTCTTATCAGTTTTTACCCTTTGTGAGATAAGGCATAAGCCTCAAGGTGTAGAGGCGTAATGTCAGATGAGCACAGTTTATGGCCACTTAATCGCACACTTTATTTTTATTAAGGCATATTTGTGAGCTGTTCTTTACTAGAAATTGGGCTCAATGACATGGTAAATGAACTTAAATTTAAATTATATAAGTTTTCTGTGATTGTATCAGCTTCTTCTAGTAAAAGCCTATCTAGTGCTTCCTAGTTTTAGAATCCCCATGGTTCTCACCTATCTTGTCAATAAAGCCATCTATTGTGTCCCATACATCCTCATCACCCACACACTTTTTTCTGGTTGGCTACTTGTAATGTGATTGTCCACGTTCTTGCCCTCCATTTTATTCTCCATTGTCACCCCCATTGCATCGAAATTGTTGATGGATTAAATGGTGTCCAACTTCCTTTTCTGATTGATTATTGATGTGTTTATGTTAATTTGTTTTATAAATTTATTTGTTTATCTCTAATCCTGTGATTATTTGTATTATAAATTTATTTGTTTATCTTTTAAAAAATAATTATTTGGTTCCAGGAAAAAAAATATTAATGACTTTTTTGATGTGGGTTAATGGGTTTGTTGATACTGATGTGTTTAACGAAGTTTTGTTATATTTACATTCTATTTAGAGTGTTAGAGATGAATTCTTTTGTCTGAATTTAGACAGGTTTCTATTTCTAGATTTATGTTCATCTTTGTGTCACTGGATTCCTTCTTAATTTTTTTCCACATTTCGATTATTTGCTTAAAACAATTTTATTAGATAAGACATTAATAGGTAGATAAGAACAACGAAGAGTTGCCTAATTTTTCCAAATTCTATGAGAAGTCTCACAACTCGAAGAAGACGACTGACTGGATTGATCCCTGATGCGATGACCTACATATAAGAATTGAACAATATAATGAGATGGAGACCCTCTTCTACCATATCCGAAGCTGCATCAAGAGCACGTGATAAGGAGATGGAGACCCTGATATGTTTTGTTAATTAAGATTTTATTTAATTTACATTTTAATTGTTGGTTTGGATTGTATATGTATTTGTTGGATTATACTATGTTTATGGATTCTTATTTTCTTCGATATGCACGTTTAACAGTTAAGTTTTGTATATGGCTGGAAATTGGATGTTACAAGTTGTGGAGAAATATATTTATTGAATGGTTGAGAATTGAATGAATAAATGAATGGATGAATAATTTTATATATGCATATGTTATAGGTGGCGCAAAAAAATATTACAGAACAAATTATAAAAACTAAATGATACCTTTTGGCGACTAAACATATATCACAGGTTAGCTTTTGGCTACTAAAATTTTAGTCGCCAATTGTCAAAAAGTGAAACTTTTGGCTACTAAACTTTTAGTTGTCAATTGTAAAAAGGAAACTTTTGGCTACTAAATTTTTAGTCGTAAATTCTCAAAAAGTAAAACCTTTGGTTACCAAATTGTTAGTCACCAAACATACATGCCCAATTGGCTACTAAATAATTTGGTCACTAAAAGTAAAAAATATATATATTTAAAAAAGATATGGCGACTAAAGTTTTAGTCGCCGATAGTCACTTTTGGCTACCAAAAATTTTTTTGTCATCAATTGTCTTCCCCGACGAACTATTGGCAACCAAACTGGCGACCAAATATATTAGTCGCCAAAAGTAATTGGCGGCTAAAATAAGGCTTTTGTGTATGAGTTAACCAAAAGTGAAATTTCTTGTAGTGGAGGGAAGCGATAGAGAGAGAGAGAGAGGAGCGGCAGTTGTGTTTGTGTATGAGTTAACCA